ACATGACGTGAGTTTAGTTCACAGGGAAGCATAGTGACCACATCCACATTCCCAAATAATAATACTTAAAAGATTGTGTTTTAGCAGTTTCAGTGGTCTGATTTGTGGCTGGTATGTGGACCATTGTAAACCATTGATGAGATGATGCTGGATGTATCTTACCCGTCCCGCCAAAGATCCACCAAGTGTCTTTTGATCAAATTAAGGATTCCATCAATCCAAATCCAGGCACTTTCGTTCTGACCACACAGGAAAGCAAAAGTCCGCATGTAAAGAGCACACACAGCTATAGGTTGTACACATTATGTAAACTACAGTATAATAAGAATCTTGCTCAACACTCACCTTGGAGAAATTGCTCCAGTGAACCACACCATCAGGATTATCTGTGAATATAAATATATATTATCTATCTGTCTACCAGCCTTTTATTGTAGCCAGCCTAAGGCCCAGCTGTGCAATCCCCATGCTGTCTGATCAGCATCTTGATATGCCACACCTGTGAGGTGGATGGATTATCTCAGCAAAGGAGAAGTGCTCACTAACACAGATTTTGACAGATTTGTGAACAATATTGAGAGAAATAGGTCTTTTGTGTAAATAGAGAAAGTCTTAGATCTTTGAGTTCAGCTCATGATGAATAGGGGCAAAAACAAAAGTGTTGCGTTCATAATTCTGTTCAGTATATTTTATGTTAACCCTGTGTTGTAAAATGAGTAAATGCACCTTGTTCATGAACCTTGAAAGTGACACGACTTAATTCTGGGGAAGAAGCAGTCAAACACTCACCCGCAATTTTGTCTCTCAGCATGGAGAGCTGGTTTTCGTCAAGCTCCCGTTGCCCAACGGACAAAAATTGCCAGCTCAGAGCCTGTCCCAGCTGCTGCCACATGAGCGGAGGCGGGTCGACAAACAACAACAGGTTCTACAGAACAAAGTCACAGAGTTTTAATACAGTTGACAAATGACTCAAACCCACTGTTCTTCGCAGGGATATGAACATAGTAGTGAAAATAGACAAATCTCAACTGTGCAACACAATAAGAAGAAAGGATTTGGTTTTTTGTGTACATCAGAATAAACCCAAAATGCATATGTACAATTGTTTGGTGTAATTTGGAAGTGTCTTGTCATGCAGCTAAACAGATCCTGATATTGTGTGATGCTTTACCCTCGGTTCACTGGTGGACAGCATGTTGCACCACATGACAGAGGCCCAGGCACTGGAGATCTGATTGGTACTGGAGATGACAACCACAGGTAGGGAGCTGGCCTGGACCAACACAGGAGGAGGGTAAACTGCCTGGCTACCATTTTTCTGTGACTGAACAACTGCAGCTCTAATAGTGCCTTCTCTTCAACCAATAATATTTTAGGTTCAGCTGCAAAGCGCACACAGAAACTGAAATGCCTCTAACTTTTTGAGTGTCATGTTTACTCACCTCGATGTTACACTTGAGTCCAGCATGCTGAAGCCCTGTCACAAACTTAATGATGTGGAGTTCTTCAGTGACTGCCAGACGACTCTGATGGAGGAGAAAGAGACGTGGTTTTAGGAGGGGGAAAATACTGGTATAATGATTTGCAAGCATGTAGAAGTAGTGTGAGGAAGATAAATATTTAGTGACATGCAACCCCACAAAAAAAAAGTAGTACAGTTTCACATTTGTCCCATTCATGAACAAATGAATCACACCTAGGTGGTGATTTTAAACTTCCAAAGAGAATTCCCTGACTGATTAAGCACACTGTCTATTAACCTACCAACCATAAAACATCTCACTTGTGTCGCTCTCTTGAAGTATTTCCTATCACTGAATTCCATCAATCTGTTATGCATCAGCATGCAACCTTAAACCTGCATTCATTGATTCTTAGTCATGTTAGCAGCACGGCAATGTCTGCCTGTCTGCCGGTCAGTCTGTCCACCACTTTGGTCTAAATGGAAATTTCTCAACTATTGGATGGATTGCCACAACACAGACATTACCACCTTATAAATGAAATGGCAAACACGTATTTACACATAAGTGCAACATAAGCATTCATTTGAAGCCGTGACAACCATGTGTCTAAAACCTTGACTGCCTTTTTTTTTGCAGTTCATATACTGAGCCACAAAAGAGGCCATGCATTCAGTTTCAAAATGTGAAACACAGTAAAGTCTATGAAACTGAAATGATTCCGGTACTTTCCTTACAGCAAAGAGTCTGCAGTCTTTTACTAAAGCCTTTTCCCTCTAAAGATGCCGTCGAACATATCCTCGGCCTTAGTGTAACTTCAGTCATCTTCATTACGTTGAATCCCTACAAAAGTTACAAAAATGTACTTGAACTGTGGATGGCAGCCTTTATCTGGAAAGGTAACTGGGTCCACTTTCATACCAGTGGGTGGTGGTGTTTACAGTCCACAGCCAGCAGGTGGCGACCAACACATAGAAAGTCTGTTTATTCCTTTTTTTATACAGTCCTTGGGTTATACCTACAAATGGCAGGTACTTCAAAATGGATATCTCCTCTTACCTCATTCGTTCCTTTTCCTCTGGCTTTTCTTTCCTTAAGTGACTGAAAGAAATGTAAAATGTCATTATATACTCTGTTTAGTGCAAGTGACATAGGCATTATTTTACATGTGTGTAAAATACAAAGCTTTGTGTTCATGTAGTGACAGACGGACATATAGATACAACAAAAGTGTCTTTGCTTTCACTTGTGTTCACATTTCAAAGGTTAAGTTTTTGCTCAGGGTTTTGTGGAGTTACATACCAGGTTACCAAATTCTGCCACCAAGCCTCCACCTGGTGTGTCCACGTCCAACACCTTACAGTCATCCCTGTTGAAGTCAAAGTGACGGAACCTACAGCAACATCAGAACAATGTGTCTCTTTGTTATATGCAATTATCATAGACCAATTATTTTAACAATTCCTCAGTTTACATTTCAGATTTTCAAATCGTTTTGGTACCCTTCACCTACCCGTTAACGGTCATGGGTTCTTCAACATCCCTTATTTAAGGGAAGAAAAGGGGATACAAAAAGATTGATAAGGGAACACAGGCTATTAAAAAGGAGGTTTGTAGTTTAAAAAAAAGATTTGTGTTTATGTTAATTATAATGTACTATATCACTGGCTCATTTTCTGACTTACTTGTCAAATACAGGTTTGACTTTGAGCAGGCACTTGAATTCTGGGAGGTTTGCTAAGAACCTGAGAAGAGAAGAAACAGGTAGTGACAATCATACAGTACCTGTTAGAGCTACTTTGGGGGTGCCCTAGTAGGTTAAGGCACCAACTATGAACTGCAACATCCCAGGTTCCGGTCTGGCTGGGGACATTTGTTATAAGTCTCGTCATTAGTCTTGTCGTTTCTTTCTCTCCATAAAATACCACCCAAAACTATTTAAAAGGTGTTTATAATTTAGGCTACATCTGTGTCTTACTATTGGCTCATCAAAGCTCATATTTAGCAATTCATTGGTGAAGCAATGATTATTGTAACATAATAGCACATGGTTATAATATGAATAAAAGGTAACTGAGCATCAGAGTGGTTTCAAAAGGCATTTTGATTCCTTTCAACACGTTTAGTTTGCTGTAAATCTGTGTGGCCATTATGGAATCCATTGTTTTTACTGTGAATCCAGGCCGACTACAGCTGCCGTCCTCCACGAAAGGAGCAAGCTACAAAAACTACACAGCCACTTCTCAAGCATACTGGCACAAAATATTAGATTCACAAAAACGTTGTATTTCTTACAGTAAATAGTTGATTTTGAAAACAGAAAAGGAAGTTGCTGTAACATTACATTATATATCTGATTATACTACACCTGTAAAGTGAGTAACCTGAAATAACTCAACAGTTGACAACCATTTTATCAGATCTAGATCATATCAGTTCTGTGTTGCCGTCGTTTTCACTATTAGCCCTGGGGGAGCAACACTGTGTTACATGCAGCCTTACCTCAATGTCACTGTGAACCGCACCCCGGTCTTAAGAATTAGCGGTCGTTGTGGTAAACTTGACATGAAAGGTTGTATCTCAACCACTAGGGCACTACAAATCAAGACCACAACAAAACGTGTCAACAATATGAAAGTGAATCAGTCTGTGTTTATGTATTGTGTATAAGACACAAGGGTCCTGATGCCACGTCTCACTTTGCAAGAAGTTTTGTGAGCAAGCGCCGAGCGAATTGCTCAATTTCTTCCATGGGATTAGGGAGGTTGGAGGCGTCTGTGCTGTTGTATTTCTTGTTCTGGTCTTGCAGTTTCTGCAGCTCTTCCCCTACTCGTAGTAGCACTTCTGCCACAGCCGTGAACCTGCACGTACAACATAATGCAGAACACCAAGTTTTGCATCAAGTATTAAGTGTGACAGCTGGGACAGTGAGACATTTTCTCCAACCTCAACATGAAACTAACTAAAATGACTAATACGTTCTTACCACTCCTGCAGACGGTCCAGACAGGTGTCAACTGGACTTCCAATGCAGGCCATCTGCTGCCTGCGCTTCCACTCAGGCAGCTCCACATCTGTGAGACTTTCAACGGCCTGCACTGCCAGTACCAAAATGTTCATTATCTGCTGCAGCACCATCTGCAAGGCAAAAAACAAACAAACACAGCAATGTTAAGTATGTGGGGTGTCCTTACTAATATGTAGAGAATGTTGTGACTGAAACTCATTATTATTATTATTACCAAGCAATATATCAAGAAAAACATCCATGACCTTAACGTCTTTTTAAACATCACAGTGAGTGTTTGTACTGAATTCCATGAGAAATTTAATGTGAGGATAAAAAAAAAAAAAATACTATGACTCAAACAATAATACCCAAACACAACACTGTTAGGAAATTACTTTCCTGCTTTTAACAGACTACAGTATTGCTATGACAACAACCTAAGCTGTGCAGTCAAAAAAACTTAAGGATGCTAAAATGATCCGCAACATCCCTGGTTTCCACCTTGGAACTTTGTTGCATCTCTCTCTCCTTCATTTCCTGTCATGCCACAACTGGCATTATCTACTAAAAAGGAATACAAAATGCAAATAATCAGAGAGTACAGTAAAGCTTTTAAAAGCACTGCCTGAAAAGTATCTACGGATGGAATTTTCCTTTAAACATAAAAATGCTTTGAAGGAAGTGGTTTATTTGTTTGTGCTGTGTCATCAACAGCCCACCACATGCATCTACTGTACCTGCTTTGTTTGACTGATAAAGTTGGCCCGCTTAAGACATTCCTCTTCCACAACAGCATGGGAATCTGCCAATCCAATATGCTGCTCCACTGGTAATGACAAACAAGACATAAATGAAGCATGAACTCACACCAAATTTATCTGTTCCTTTTTGTCCGACTCCTTCCATACCTCTGCTCTGCCAGGTCTTCATTATGTAGTCAAGCTTTTCATTTAGGACCTCCAGCGACTTAATTTCTTTCTTTACCTCCTGCATTAGTGTTAAAGTTCACAAATTCAGATCCAGGTCAGGTGGAACACAAACCAGAAAACAAAATTAAAAATCAAGTAAAAGTCAGTTTACCAAAGTCTGCCTTTTTAGCTCCTTGACTTTGTTGTCCAACTCTCTCCATTTGTGTTCAATGGCTGGACTGCCACAACCCTGACAAAAACAAAGACATTTCTTTCACTCTTTTGCCATTATTGGCATATGGTGGTGGTTCTTACAAAACAGACCTTTGTGCAAACAGTGTTTGCCTGCTGTAAAGATGAGATAATAAAGAAAATGTACAACACGGATCTGTTACTTTTTTAGACTGAATAGACCAGAGAATTAGAATAAAATCTTCACTTGCAGTGTGACAACCAGAAACATCATACTCATCTGCATAGCACTTGATCAAAATGAAATATTAAAGCTGGACTTTTACATATAAGTTTAGATAAATCCCTTCTGAGCTGGAATAAATAAAGAAAACCAAACAAAAGACCGATTTGAAAAGCTTTGTGAGATTCGGCATGTGATTAGAGTTCCTTTCTGCAGCCTGGACTGCACTGTTCTGTTCGTCCAGCTGATATCTTCAGTCATCTTACCTGTGTTTCATAGGCTGAAGCAAGGATGTTCTTTTCCTCCTTTAGGCATTCAGAGAGGATTACGGCCAAGTTCAGTGGCTGATCTTGAAAGTTTTTCTAAATAAAGAAAAAGAGTGAGAGGTTATTCTGTGGTAAGAAAATTTGTTTAATCCAATATTCAGGTCACATAACAGCATGTCCGCCCTACCAGCAAGTAGTCTTTCATCCCTGGAAAATCCGGTCCCTGCAAAATAGTGTTGTCCTGGACCGACCGTTTCCTCTGTTCTTCCAAATAAACCAGGAGTGCATGGAAACAAGTGCTTGCCATATTTTCATCCACAGCTGCCAAATCCCTGAGACAGATCAACAGAAAATGTACCTTCATTTAGGATTAATTAATGCTGAATGGGGCACTTTGTTAAAAATAATTCAAAACTGACTAGGATAACAAAGATATTGCATCTTGATATTTTTATTATCAGGTAAGTGAAGCCTGTAACATAGGAGGGGGCTAATAATCATCCAATTAGCATAATCTGTGTAACAAAACAAATTAGTTCTGTATGTAGATCTGTGTTTCCTTAAAGTCAAGAAAAGCGATATATTCTAAACTTGTGCACAGAAGTTCATATCTGGTGTGCACATGAGAAAAAAATATATCTTTCAGGACATGGGCCGGTTAATCAAGTAGGGGGACCCAATCAAAAAAACAACTGTGGGCACCTACTAACCTCCCTGGTTTTCTCACTCTCTGTGAATTGTGTATGCATTTGTTAATAATTAGTAATTAGTTTGTGGTAACTTAAATTTAGTAAAATATAATTTGGCAAAATACATGATTTAAGAACAATAAAACCTGACAAAACAAAGGTCTCACAACTAGATTTGAACTAAGGGCCCTTTTACAAAAGAGTGCTTGAAGATGGTAATAATGCAGGTGTCACTTTAAGGGCCCATCCTTTCAGATTATACAGGATTGACAAACAAGCCTGCAAGTGATTAAATTACTACAAACTAACTGCAACACCATGAAAACTGGAGCCCCCTATTGGGTGTCTTTGTGCAGTTATTTTCAAACTGTCTCTTACCAGTCCTGGCCCTCGATCAGGACACAAAGACAGTGGCGGATCTCTCTGGGGAATTTCCTCTCATACAGCTGGCTCACGCGGCCCTGGAGTGCTGAGTCCAGCTGCAGCAGTTCCTGCCACTGGGCCATCTGCAGTTAGTCGACACAAACAGGGGTGAGTTTGATACCATGACTGACAGAGGAGGCACCTTTTTAAATTTAGTGAAGAGCACATTATGACTTGTTTAGGACTCGAAACTCAAAGTTTAAGACTTGGACTTGACTTAGACTAGCTTGTCCTTGACTTGAGACTTGACTCGGGACTTGTGAAGCGATGACCTGGTCCCAGCCCTGTACATTAGTAGTAGGCTATTGATAAAATCCTAACACCCATCCCTAAACACAAGTTTAACACTCCACTTTATGAAAACACATACATTTCATTAAGCACACACTCAGATGACCACCTGCGGCCACCTCCTATCATGATGTGCGTCCTCCCTGTGACAGTGCTGTGAAAAGTAAGTTTTTCTTCTGCGTGTCGCCAGACTTACCTTGTGGCTGTTGTTTGTCGTTGTTGTTGTTGTTATTAATATGTCAACACAGAAAGTACACCGCACCGCGCTGACTGTTTTGCGGAATCTGACCGGCGCGAGGAAGGAGGGTTTTATATTTAGCGGGCACTCCCACAAGTCATGTGATTCTCGAGAAATGAGTCCACTGAGCGTGTCAAGTCACCCGTCGGTTAACGTTACACAGTATTCATTTCCGCCTTCAAAATACTGTCTTTTACTTTTTTTTTACTTTGGAGAGCCCCGGCTCTTTCCGGGTGGTCTTAGATAGACATTGACGGCTGACCTAATGCAAGGGCCAAACTGAGTGGCAGAAACAGCTGTGCTGCAAAACGTGCATACATGCTTGTAGCTTAACATGACGCTGAAGTTAGTTTACAATATAGAAATAGAATAAATGTTTCACAAATCTGAAACTATGTTTTAAAGAAACTTTAGTCTCTGTGGGACAATCTATTCCAGATTTGAGAGCTCTAGGTGTAGTGGTTTTGGATCTGGACTTATGTGACAATGTAGTCTAGTTGTGGAGAAAAAGCAGTGAAATCGCCCTTTTTTCATTTTCACAAATAAAATAAAGGGGTTTTTTTCAAATCTAAAAAAGTGTTTCAGACAGCCTTAAGGCTTTGCCTAAAATGTCTCACTGCCTTCACAGCAATAAGAAGTGCAAAAAACAAAGAATCAGTCACACAGCAATGTAAGTTAACTTTCACTTAAGTTTAAATGTATTCATTTAGCTGATGCTTTAATCCAAAGTGACTTACAAATGCTATACATGTCAGAGGTCTCACTCCTCTGGAGCAACAAGGGGTTAAGTGTCTTGCTCAGGGACATAATGTTAGATGGGTCACAGTGGGGGATTGACCCAGGTCTCTCACACTAAAGCATAGTCTTATCCATTGCACCATCACCTAGTTCCCCTTAGCTTTCCCCATAACTGATGAATCGGAAGCTGACTTCTGCGTCATTAGCCTAACTTGCTTTAATTAGCAGAGAGCTGAGAAATGGACCTGGCTGCATTCCATTTAGATGTACGATTTTTGGGGCTCTGCATGATAAGCCAGCACGCACAATGTAGCTGTGCTTTTCCTGCTAAGACAGGTCAAAATGTCTGCTGTGGAAAAGGTCTGTACCTCAGATATTATATTCATTCATTACACACAGATATTTCAAATGTTTATTTCATTTAATTGTATGATTAAAACTGACAAGGAATGCGACAGCTTCACAATCCTCTCCAGGGTGCGGTTATCCCTATTGCTTGTACACTTTTTTCTGCCACATCTTTTCCTTCCCTTGGCCTCTCTATTAATGTGTTTGGACACAGAGCTCTGTGAACAGCCAGCCTCTTTAGCAATGACCTTTTGTGTCTTGCTCTCCTTGCGCAAGCTGTCAATGGTCATCTTTTGGACAGCTGTCAAGTCAGCAGTCTTCCCCATGATTGTGTAGCCTACAGAACTAGACTGAGAGACCATTTAAAGGCCTTTGCAGGTGTTTTGAGTTAATGACCTGATTAGAGTGTGGCACCAGGTGTCTTCAATATTGAACCTTTTCACAATATTGTAATTTTCTGAGATACTGATTTTGGGGTTTTCATTAGTTGTCAGTTATAATCATCAAAATTAAAAGGAATGGACACTTGAAATATATCAGTCTGTGTGGAATGAATGTATACATTATACAAGTTTCACTTTTTGAATGGAATTACTGAAATAAATCAACTTTTTGATGATATTCTAACTCTATGATCAGCACCTGTAGTTTCCCAGCTCTAGCCTACTGAGTTTTTAGCTTCTTTTAGCTCATAGTTTTGGTCTTGTGACAACATTGATTCAAATGTTGCTCAAGTGTCTGCTGGACATGTAGCCAACACCTTCACATGAACTACATGAGAAGGTAATATTTAGTTAATAATATAATGTTTTCTGCTTGTTTTGCTGCCCCTTAGTGGCCAAAATAAGTAACAGCTTTAACATTATAGTTACTGAATGAACAGGTTGACACATAGGCTGTTACAAAAAGGGTCAAATCTTTGTTGGCCTATCACGATTTTGATAAGTCTTGGCAAACTGTTCCTGGTGAGCAGTGCCTTGAAATGGACATATGCCCTCCAAGACCAAATCTTCTTTATTTCCACAAAGAATTATAAACACATCTGCCCACTCTTGACTCTCCGAGAATCACGTGGTTCTCGGGAAAATGCCGGACCAAACCGGCTTTATTTCCACAAAGAATTATAAACACACCCGCCCACTCTTGACACTCCGGGAATCACGTGGTTCTCGGAAAAAAAATATAATAACATGTATCAAACATAAAGCAGTCAGTTGCAGGCGTTACACTTCCGGCTGCTTCCAAAATAAAAGCTCTATAAACTTCTGCTATGCCACAAAATTATCTGTAGACCTTGCCATGCCTCATCATGGGCTATAGGTGGCAGATGAGCTAACCTTGAATAATTGAATGAATGATGATGTTGGTGAGTGTACAAGTGCATCTCAGAAAATTTGAATATGATGAAAAAATTCAATACAAAACCCTGTTAGGCCTCTGTCCACCCTGTTATGTTGGTATTTTTCCTTCACAGTTTATTGAAATTACCAAATATTAAGTATATTTGTATTTACATAAAGATACGGAAGGGATTGACTATACAGTCAAGAGACGTTGAGTAATTCTTGTTATAATTCACTTTTCTTGAGAAAAAGTGGAATAATACGTCCCCTTTTCATAATGTGTGCTTGTTTTTCTCAATATAGACCTTGCCTACACTGTTTAGAAATTATTTTATTGTAAAACAAATATCTAATAAGAGTGACAGACATATGATTTCTATAAAAATGTAATTTTAGTAGCATTTAAACAGTTATGTCTAAGTCCTTAACAGGGTGGACATTTTCCGCATGTCACATGTTGTTAATATATCTATATTTTAACCTCCCTGCACTGGCTGCCTGTACATCATAGGATCCATTTTAAGATTGTTTTATTTGCTTTTAAGTGTCTTAATGGTCTTGCCCCACCCTACATCTGAGCTGCTACACCTCTATAGACCCACCCGTTCTCTCAGGTCAGCCGATCAACTGCTTTTGAGCACAAGCTGAAAGGGGACCGAGCTTTTGCTGCAGCAGCTCCTAAACCTTGGGACGATCTACCTCTGCACATTAGACAGGCATCTTCAGGGTCTGTTTTTAAGTCTCTTCTTAAAACCAACCTCTTTTCCCTGGCCTTTGAAAACTGAAGTTGACATTTCTTGTTTTAGTTGTCTTGATTTTATTGTATGGTTATTGTTTTTATTTGTATTTTATGCTTGTGTGAGCTTTGGCTTTAGGGTCTTTTATGCATTCATTTATTGTTTTACTGTGCAGCAGTTTGTGTCCACTTGGATTGTAAAGTGCTCTATAAATTAATTTTGATTTGATATTTAATACAATAAAGGTGCCTGACCTCTACCAATGTTAGATATATCCTTTATATAATAGAACTTTATAATATAGGTACATCAACTATTTATTCCCAAGTTATGAAGTCCAAATGGCACCCTATAAAAAAAATAAAAAAAGACCATGTTCATGGAAGTTGACTAGAAGGTTAGTGAGCCAGGAAATGAGCTACAAGTATCACATTCCTAGTGTCAAGTCATTCCTGAACCAGAGACAGCGTCACAAGCATCTTACCTGGGCTAAGGAGAAAAAGAGCCGGACCGTTGCTTAGTGGTCCAAAGTCCTCTTTTTAGATGAAAATAAATTTGGCATTTCATTTGGAAATCGAGTTCTCAGAGTCTGGAGGACGAGTGGAGAGGCACAGAATCCAAGTTGCTTGCAGTCCAGAGTGAAGTCAGTGATGATTTGGGGTGCCACGTCATGTGCTGGTGTTTGTCCACTGTGTTTTATCAAGTCACTGCAGCCGACCAGGAGACTTTAGATTATTTCATGCTTCCATCTGCTGACCAGCTTTATGGAGATTCTGATTTCCTTGTCCAGCAGGATTTCCACCAGCCAACAGAGCCAAAACCACTAGGAACTGGTTTGCTGACCATGGTATTACTGTGTTTGGTTGGCCAGCCAACTAACTTGACCTGAACCCCAAAGAGAATCTATGGGCTATTGTCAAGAGGAAAATGAGAGACACAAGACCAACAATACAGACGAGCTGAATGCCGCTATCAAAGCAACGTGGGCTTCCGTAACACCTCAGCAGTGCTACAGGCTGATTGTCTTCACGCCAAGCTGCATTGATGCAGTAATTCACGCCAAATGAGTGAGAGCATAAATTAACCTTTTTCAGAACTGTTCAACTTTTCAGAAGGTCTAGATTTCTGTATTATACATTCTTTATTCTAATATTTTGAGATTCAACAACAAAAAGCCGTATTTCACTTAATGTGTAATAAATCTAGGATATATGAAAGTTTCACTGTTGGACTTAAAATACAGGGAAACTTTATTTCATGTTGTTCGAGTTTTCTGAGATGCATCTGTATTGGTTGGCACCACAGGTTAAATCAAAGCATTGTGTAACCACCATGCAACTTCAACTGTAGAAATTAGGCAAAAGAGACTGACGCAAGCTAATGTCAATATGGTACAATGTTTAAATGGTTTTATATACAATACAGCCGTCATAGAAAATCAGCCAATAGTTAAAATATTACCAAAGTCAACAATAAAAAGAGACTGCCTAATTAGAACAATTATGAATATATAAAAAACAACAACAATAAACAACAGCTCAGCCCACAAAAACCTCTAAACACAGCAGACCCTTTTTTCATGAGTACAGTACATTCACCAGTATGAAAATGGTTGTGAATGATTCAAGGAAGCTTTTGGCAAAATCCTTTGAATCCTTCATCTCTCTTTACTCTGAATATGGAGAGCTCATCTGTAAAACAAAAAGGAGAACAACATTAGCAGCAGAACGTATGGAGGACTCATCTATAATACAAAAAATACAGCAGCAGCCTTTTGAAAAATATTATTACACATTAATACACATTTGGTACACTAGTTAACATTTCCAGCAGCAGGACAGCGTGTTAGTGATTGTGTCAAAATAAACTACAGTGTGTGTCTTCATGGTAATGGAGGGACATGTCACTCAATGCAACAGTGAGGCTCAGTAAGTTTTTAATAGTTTTTGGACAACAATGGATTTTATAAATATTCACAAAAAATACAGAATATTACCAGCATTTATTTTACAAAAGAAGTGGTACAGTCCACCAAATTGCAATGCATGCAAACTTACGGTGTCAATGTCGAAGCATAGGTGCTCGTTGAGCATGTCAAACTCCCCAGGAGTCATTGGTGGCTCAGGAGACTGACAAGAATGTGGTGTGTTGCTTGCATTTGAGCTAAAATAACAGAGAAAGGGAGATTCTACAAGTGAAGGGACTACTTCTAATTTTCAGTTCTCAATATGCTGTAGGATGTGTTGACAGCACAAGCAATGTGTCCAAATCAATATCTATTCCCCAACTTTGGTCCAATAATTAAATTTCAGGGTCAAAGTAAGTTGAGTAGGGGTCTTGTGTGGTCTTCAAATGAACTCACCGCAGTTCCGAGATGGGAATCAGGGTAGATGGTATGTATGGATGAACTGGAAATTTAACAGATACGAGAGATACAAGAGAGATTAGTGTCATAGCCTAAAATCTACGCACGATTCAAAACAAGCACTCTGCATGGACTCTAAATGATGAAATCGTTTTGCTCTCTTGCCTTTGCTTGGCTGACTATTGTAAAGCCGTCCGAAGGCCTCATCTTTGGGGATGTCGGGGTAGAGGAACTTGAGCGGGTTCTCTGGGACAACCCCGTCTGAGATCACTTTGTAGTCTCGGATGATGTCGGCAAATGGGAGAGCGCTGAGCCGGTTTTTAGTGTATGGCTCCACCGAGTTGAACTTCACTTCCCCTGTTATGAAAAGTTACTGTTAGCAAAGCATAGTATTAGATCAACTAAAGACGACAGGACAGAAACCCAGCTGAAATATAACTTTACCTATAACTTATATGACTCGACACAAGTGGTCTGAAGGAAGTGGTATATTTGAAAGAGACCTCACCATTGTCGCTGTGCTCCACCCAGGTGAAAGTGATTCCTCCGAGGTGGCTCTCACTGAAGCGTAGGAGGAATGTTCCTGGTTCTCTGTCCTTTAGCAGAATGCGCTCCATCTCTTTACTCACAAAGCCCATAATATAGCTGCATGGATGGTGATGGTGCAAAAGAAAAATCCAACAATGAGCTTTTTAGGCTTTGCACTTAATGTTTTTCACATCACATTTAACATTCTACTGACATTTCTTACTGTAACAACCATCGGCTAACTTGTGGTTAAGTTGTGTAGCTTTGTCTTTTGCGCTATCCCTTACGTACAATTTAAGTCTATTAAACCTGGATAAGGAAACTAATCCTAAAAAAGGCAAAGAAAGTAATAATTGCTGCAGTTTTACCACAAATCATTCACTGCTGGTGGCTGTAAGATAGTTTGAGGTATATTGTATGTATATAGCGTTGCTCTGTGCCTTTCTCTCCTCCTTCTGCTTACTAACCCCACATGCACACACCACCTGATCGCTGAAGCTAACCACACCTGTGACCCACAGCAGGCTAGCATCAGAGTGCGTCTGCATTTTTTTGTAGTTCAGGTGATTTTCCACCATCTTGATTCTGAAATCAGCGGGCCTCTAGCCCATTCTGAACTGGATTTGCGACCACCCACGTGGTCGGATAAACCCCCCTCTCTTAGTCTTTCCCCCTCCTTTGTCTCTCACACCCCACAAACTCTCACTCACACACACCCAAACACTCTCACTCACACACACCCACACACTCTCTCTCTCACACACACACACACACACACACGCACACACACACACACACACACACACGCTTGCTAGATAGTTGTATGTTTTCGTATGATTTGTTTATTGGCTTCATTTCATTTTGCTTAGAATAGTTAATAGTGATTTACTTGCTAAAGTTATTGATCATTGATCTATGCTTGAGTTGATTAAAGCCTGTTATAATTTTAAGAAGTCGTTGCCTGTGATTATTTGTTTATAATGTTGTAGTAAGAGTTGGTTACCACGGCCAGTGTACAGATTCACCCTTCTCTGTTTGCTGTCTATAGGTAGACAAACCTTCTTTTAGACTGACCATACTTGGCTTATATTTGGTTATTGGTCCCTGATTCCAGGGTGGTGCCCCGTATTTATTAATTATAATTAATAATTTTGAATATTAATAGTTTTATTAATATGTCTAGAATATCTTTGATATTCAGCTAATAACCAAACCTGACCATATGTTGAAAACCCCAGCATGATTAATTGACTATGTGAGACACGAGCCAATTCTATAAGATGATTCACATTCAATGCTGTAGCTTCATTTATAGTGTATCAATCTTCTCACCTAACTCTAGTTAATAAGCATATTTACCAAAATGTTGAACTATTCCTTTAAGCTGCAGAGTTTCTTACAGTGGCAGTTAGTGGAGCAAGTGACAGATGCTGAAACACATTTGTCCTCACTAGCACATCTAGTCAGAAGCTTGTTGAGGTGCATGAGTATGAATCCAGTTCCTCAAAACAGACTACTGTTCCAGTGAATAGTAATATCCATGGAGGAGCAGTCCTACTGCAGAGCAGAGATGCATTGGGACAGTTGAGGGGGTGAATGGTGCTGTGTGGTGGTACATAGCAAGTGAGCTAGTGGCTTACTTCTCATTCCAGACTGGCAGCAAGTGCCTCTTGATCAGCTCCAGGATGGAGTCTAGCCACATCCAGAAACTGAAAGGCTTTCCTGGAATATTCTCCTGGAAGTATTAAGACACATGAAAAAGGTACAATGAGGGTTTTTTTTTTTTTTACATCAAACATTACATTCAGTATGTGATGTAGAACTGAAATGGAATGTTCAGCTTGGGTTATACGGCATGGTGCACCCAACTTGCTTTATCATTGGCCACTAGATGGCACAACCATTCTGGAGATGAGACCACATGGTATTTTGTGTGGTATATACTAACACTTACCTTGGAGAACTTAGACCAGGATACTTGATAGTCACTACAGGAGGAATGCTGACCTACAACATACAGTAAATAACATACATGACTGTACAGAAGTACCCAACATTCAATAGCTTGGCAGTTCAAGTCAACAACTATGGATCCTGTTACGTCCAACTAATGCCTTCTCTGCATAAATCAACTCCCTGTCATGTCATGTCTTGTCAGCTATCATGTCAGCATTTACCTATGTGGTCAGGATGTTTGTTAAGCTGTCAGTGTCCAGGTGGAAAAAGTTGCTTAATGCCACCTCAAACATTTATTTTGTTTCAGTCACCCAAAATCTACAGTCACCATGTAGTTTGAAAACTGTAGGGAAATCATACCGAGAAGCTTTTCTCCCAGCATGGTGAGCTGGTCCTTGTTGAGACCTTGACCAGCAAAGGTAGAGAACTGCCAGCTAAGAACCTCCGAGAGCTGGTTCCAGGTGGCCCGAGGTGGGTTCCCAAAGAACGCCAAGTTCTGTGGATTATAGGAAAAGGGTAAGAGGAGGGGTGTGCGGGTGTTGAATAAACTAAACTTTAAAACAGTTTCAATAAAAACTGAACATTACAACCTCTTTGAAAGTAGCATTTATTGCTTTGATTTTAGTTAAGAGTATCTAATGAACCGGCAACTAAGTGTTTGTAACACAATCCACTTAAAACAGATTCAAAAATGCTTTTTGTCACAGTGTGTTAGCTCACCCTTGGCTCATCAGTCAGAAGGTTATACCACATGACGGAGGCCCAGCCTCCAGGCAGCTGGCTCACGTTGGAAATGACCACCAGTGGCAGAGAACACGTCTGAAACAATTCACATACACAGTGGGCAAGTTGCAGCTACATCCACAGACAGCCAAACATCAAGTCAAATCTATGCTGTTTCTGACCTCCAGATCAATGGTGAGGCCCTGCACTGTGAAGCAAGCCTCGAAGCTGAGAGAGTGAAGTTCCTCTGTCACGGAGAGCAGACCCTGCAAAGCACACATTATAAACATTTTAATTATGGGGGTACAACTATTTTAGAACAGGTCAGACAATACTATCAATAACATATCTGGAACATTTACTTATTTGTATTCCAAAATTATGCACAAACACAATTAAGCATTACAACAGAACAGGTGTTATAAGACCACTTTGCTGATATGTAAATGACTAACTCATTTGCGTTTCTTACCTCATTTCCCTTTGTACCATTAATATATTTCTTCTCTTTCAGCTGCTGTAAGATACAAACTCAATGTCAGTCGGCTTAAAATCAACAAACATAAACCAAAAACCGACACTTTGACAAACTGGTTAATGTTTTCTACCATTTCTTCTTAATCTACTGATACTGTATGATAGCTATTTCCAGCTGCTACTCAAATTTAAGTATGAACTCACAATACAATGACTTTTTCATAAAGTTATGGCGAAATAAATAGCTATTCCCGTTCTGCCAGGAAGCAGTTGAGGACTTATTATGTGTGCTCCTCAGGTGTTGATATTTTATTATAACAAATGACACAAGCATAAATACAATCAGACAGTGTTGGGTTGCCTTACCAGGTGTCTAAACTCAACTGAGAGGCAGCCGTTTGAGTAGTCCTCAATGTCCATAACTTTAGTGTTGTTGGTCAGGATGAAAAACTGACGACTTCTGAGGAGAAAAAAGAAAATAAAACAAAAAAGCCTCATGTATTTGTCAAACTTACACAGCATCAAATGCTGGCTTTTTTTAGTAGATACAAATGCTACTGTAGCTGCTGAAATCTGAAATGTGCGTAAATTCTTCTGAAGACTTGAACTGGTTTGAAAATAAAAACTCCAATCTTAAAAAAAGCCTTTTGTAACTATAAAGAAAAACAACTTGTTTTCAGATTATTGTAACTGTCACCCGTCTGTAGAATTTGAACAACTTGTGTCCCTGGAGTATTTGTCCTACAGTAAATGTAGAAAATCGCAGCGTCTTCGGAAAAAACTTTGCAGAAATTGCATTTTTATAGTTGCTTCTAAGCTGGGCGATGAATTTCAGACCAAACATTTTCCTCCAGTAAAGTGATGTTGTATGATGTTTTCAGTCATTACTGCAGTATGAAAACATGTCTGTATTGGTGAAGTGTACTGTTCGCCACAGTTCTTTAAACCTGCTAACTCTGCTGCTATACCACTTTTTTCTGTGTTAAAATTAAACATCAGCAGTACGTCCTGTATTGAGCTTGTTTGTACTCACACTCTGCCAGGGGGGAGGTCCCTAGAGACACAAACACACATACACACACATATAGAAAGATTAGAGAGAAAAGAATAGGACTTTTATTTTTAGTTATGCGCACTTATGTTCAAGTAATTATCTCGGCCTGTAAGTGCAAACCAATTACAAAAATGTAAACATCTCACTTGTCAACTGTTGTTTTCACTTTCAGTTGATAATCCACTTCAGGAAGTTTAACCAGGAGTCTGAGAGAAATCAGGAAGAGAAAACAAACGCATGATTTAATTCTCAACATCACTACTATTACCTATCCCACCACCATCCATCCATCCACTGTCAACCGCTTATCCTACGTACAAGGTTGCGGGTAACCCACCACCATTTGTTATTATTGTTTATTTTATAATAAAATACAAATGAAAATGCAAATAAACCCAAACAGAACTGATTTAGGTTTAAACAGGAATGAAATGGCTGACAAATCTAGAGCACAAAATCATGAAAGCACATCACGTCACATGTTGATACCTGACTTTGGTGGTGAATTGTACTCCGGTCTTGATGATGAGGGGTTTCTGTGGATGTGTGGGCATGCATGGCTGCTTCTCCACCACAAATGAGCTGAGAACAAACCACACCTCATATGTTCATTTCACTTGACAACTCATCATGCGGCATGACTGTGGTTTTAACAAGGCCATTAGTGATCATGTGCCCCCCTTTAGCTTTTACGTAGCTGGGAATATTATAAAAGAAGAAAATGGTATTCATTTTACATTTTGTCAACAAAACAACTTTGAAATTAGCAGTCAGGTTTGGTCTATCAATTTAGGCTATGATGTCTGGTGGTTGGCAAGTACGCTGATCAGCTATATTTATTCATCGCTGACCATGAGTATTGACTTGGCTTTTCATCTATACCTGCTTTAACATTCTGAATTTGACTGCTGAAACTTTCAAACAAACTTCCTTCCTGGGGGTTGAGCAGTCGGTAATGTCACAGATGGCCTAATTATACAAAGCACCGACTTCACAGATACCACAACTCACTCTAAATTAAATAAAACAGTTGGCAGCCTTGTTGCAAGAAAACTATCATCCCAGTCACTGTAAGACGTTGCTGACCTTCATGAGGTGTTGTTATTTAGATCTCTGTTTATGATTTCTTGGAAACGCACACATGTAAAACCAGAGATCCCTCACAGTAATCATGAATACACCTGCATTATGTTGCATTTTTAAAGTACATGTACATACTTTGTGTCACGTCCTGTGTTGCGTTGTGTGGTGATCAATACCTCTTGATGAGGTGATAGATGAGATACTTGACTCGCTCCTCCATCTGAGGTTTTTGCAGGGGGATTGGGTCACTTTCGTAGGTGACCTTCACAACCAGCTCCCCAAGTTTGTCCAGCTGACGTTTGATCTGGAATAGACTCTGGGCTATCAGAGTAAACCTGAAAGGGAAAGGAGAGAATAAGGGAACAGGGACAGAGATTGTGTAGTCCCGAGTACAATCTCTAGTATAGTTCTCTGCTGTCTGGGTCGCGGTGCGTCTGGGCAAGGGAAGGTGAAAAGCCTGATTATGCATAACCCATTTGAATTATGGGTGAACAAAAAGGTTTATCGGGTAATATTTAATTTTAATTTTTTTTTAATTGTATAATGTCTTTTTTTATTATGTTTCCCTTTGCTGCTTTTATGTTTTGTGTAAAGCACTATGAATTGCCCTGTTGCTGAAATGTGTTATACAAATAAACTTGCCTTGAAATATTGTGTTGTGCTGATCTGGGTTTAGCAAACTACAGGGTCTAATCAGAACTAAGTTTGACCCCCGCTATCAAGCCAAAAAGGTTTTAGGATCATATATGAGGCTGATGTACTGCTGTGGTCAAATGAATGAGCTTTTTTGTGATGCAAAAGTAATTTAAGTACTGTATGTGCTAAATCAAATGATTAGAACTCCTGTTCATGTGCTTCCCCAGTGCACACAAACATTTTTAACATGAACAACACTGATTCCTGCTCTCAGCGATGGGGGACTCTAGCTAACATAGCCTACTAATGATTAGCAGGTGTAATGTTTTCTATTTTCACCTTAGTTTAGCTTGTTAGCATGCTAACTTTGGGTAATTAGCACTAAACACAGCTGTACAGCCGAGGCTGATAATTCATCATTCAGGTATTTGTATAGTAGTAAGTAAAAAACAAAATTTTTACCTGCTGCCGGTGCTAGATTTAAAAAACGTTAGGTAAAGATGAAGTAAATATAGTAAAAAAAGTTATGGGATCACCAAAGTTACTACAATTCATCCTGAGGGAATGAGGTGATTCAGTGGTTGTGGAGACATTTCACAAAACTCAACCTGATGTTGGCACTACATAAAAAGCCCCGGGATCACCATAGTCAGTAGGATTCATCCTCTGGGCATGATCTCCCAGAGGCCGTCGCAAAGTTTATAAGATATTTTAGTCTGGACCAAAAAGGTGGGCCAATCTATAGTGTCATGTTGCCAGCTAAAAATATGTCTGCAGTGAGCGATTTACTGCTGTGCTTTTACACTAAAGTAACGACAAATTAATTTAACAGAAACCCTATGTGACAAACAGGAGGGGTTTGAAAGATGTGGGCATTTACCAGACAGGGCAAGTCTACTGAAACATGCTCTTGGTTGCATCATGTGAAATGTAGGATCCATCGTAGGATCGGCGCTTCACCCATACTAGAGATTAAAAGTCCATACAACTCTGCCCTTGCTGCTTTGATCTCAGGAGAACCCTTTCAGCGTTCACATCTACTTCACATGTTCTGGACATACTTTACACGTGCACTTTATATGCATGTTTATTCATGTAACTTTACTGCTGTAAATTAGTGATTTCAGTAAACATTCAGCTCATTACCAGCTCTGCAGCTGGTCCAGGCCGGTGAGCAGCGGACCACCGATGGCAGCGATCTGCTGCCTGCGCTTCCAGTCCTGCAGCTCAGGGTTGAGCTGGGAGGTCATCAGGTCGTCAATCTCTTTGATCACAACATCCATCTTTGATAGGATCTCCTAATAACAATATAAAAAACATCTGTTGTGGTTTATGAAATGTAAATAATATGATGCTATGATGGGTATTTATTTGTAGACTCATGAAGGGTTGGCATTTTTATCTTTTTTATATTTGTAGACATGGTGATGAGACAAATGCATACCTTCCTTTTAAAGTCAAGCCTGTTGAGCATTTCCTGCAGCCTTGTTACTTCCTGTTTCATCATCTCTGAGTTCCTATCTGTCGATTCTTAAAAACACACGCACACACACACACAACCACACACATAGTTTTACACTTGTGTGTTGCGGGCTGTGCAGTTTGCACAGTAGAATAACACTGTTTTAAATGAGCTTCTTCTTTTCACAGCTTGTGCACACATCTTATAACAGAGCTCACCTCGAGACTGTAGGGTCTTGTAGCAGAAATCAAAGTCATCCTGCATGTCCTCGATGTATTTCACAGCCTGGTCCATCAACTAGCCACAGACAGACATAGCTTTTTAAAGTTCCTTTCACAGGATGAAATGTTGTAATGTTTAGATATTCCCAAAAACATCAGTGTGTTTGAGCTACCTGCACGCTGCCCCTGATGATCCCAACTCTGCTGTCCATGTTCTTCTGCCTCTCAAAGGCCACAGAATTCTGCAATGATTTCTCCAGTGGACCCTGTTAGAAAATGTTTGTTTTAGTCACCCTTTTCTTTTGTATTTATTTACTTGCTGTGTTATCTGTGTTATGGTTCCAGATAAAACCAGGTACAGTGGAAGTCAGTCACAGTTGGGGGTGCTGAGAGGTCAGTCTATACAACAGGGACTAATGCACGAGAGCTGAAGGAGGTGAAGAGGAAGAGACATGTGTCCTATGGCCAGTTCACCAGAATTTCTAATAATGCAGATGTTTGATAGAGTCAGCTTGTCACTGTTAACAGAGACTCTTTTTTTGTAGTTTACGTTCTATCTGTATTTGTTATTTGTTGTTTTTGTAATTTATAACCCACAGATGGAATGGTCTTGGTTGGATTAAACTGCTTTGGCAACATTGTTTAAATGAAACATTCATGCCAATAAAGCACACTGAACTGAAATGACTTTGGTCTGCAGTGTAGTTCATACACTTCAAGCATGAACCACAGAGCTGTACAATAACAATGGGCTTCATGATCAAAGGTTTTAATATCATGTCAACACTTCTATATTCCCACGCCTCCTCTCTCTCTCTCTCTCTCACTCACGTTGCATCACACTTTTTTTATCAACTGATTGTTTTTATAATTTCTGGTTTTACCCCCCCTGCTTCCTGCGTCCTTGGCTAAAACAAAAAACTGTTTTTGTTTTATAGTTTCTTTATTAAAAATTCCAATTAAAATATTTTCTCATGAGAAATCCTTTCTTTGGAATACAGTGATTGGGATTGTGGGTGTGTATGAAGTACTACCTTCCTGGCAGCAATTGTGACTTACCAGCAGCAGCTGTTATTAAGGAACAAGAGGGACTTTCCCCTTTGAGGGAGACAATGTGACAAACCTGTTCTTGCATGCAGGCGCTGGAGAGGATCCGGCGCTCTTCCTTGAGGCAGGTCGCTATAACTCGTGCCATGACTGCAGGGCTGGACGTGTATTTCACCTGTGGTGCCAAACACACACAAAGGTTACAAAATCACCCACTCACACGGATTTTATTTTTTTTAAGAGAAATGTAGAAAAGCCATAAAAGATTAACTACATAGTTTCAATTTTGCATTGGTATTTAGATCCAGAAAAAACAAGTTAGGAGGAAATAGTTTTTACAGAGATTAGTCACCTGGGCCTTCTCAGAGACATGAGAATTTACTGGAAGTACTTTAAGGAATTGTATGAGCAATGAGGCTCAACTTGAACTTCAGTCATAAAGAATGTGTAAACAGGTGGCATGTACCCGACGGTGTGCACAGATCTGGAGTATGAACATTTTTTTCCAAAGGCGTTAACCATAATGGTTTTTGAATCTTGGATAAAACTGCATGAACAAAATAAAAATTTACTAGGCAGTTACTTGAATAATAGGAAGATTGTTTTTTTAAAGTAACTCAGTTCACTCTTGGAATGAATTACAATGATGATTTTGCCTTTGGAGCATCTCACACACAGGGGAATAAATTTGATATGTTGTATTTTAAATGGGTGTCCCACCCTCATGAATGATTATAGTCAACTATCAGCCCAATGACCAATAACATTTCAAGGACTAAATTCTTGGCAAATAATCAGTGCTTGTGGCTCATATGTTTTTCAAAAATATCCACATTCTTGTAATTGGAGGCGATTGTTTTCGATTGTTGTCGATTGAAAGGGCATCTTGTCATTAGACCCTCCCTGTCTGGTAAAAAAACCCACGTCTTTTAAACTCTTTGCTCCCAGTCGGTAACACAGGCTTCCTGTTACAAATGAAGAGTGTGTTGTTTTGCTCATCAAGCCCATTCAAAAGTCTGCTTTGAAAAGAACGGAACATTCTGCGGCGGCAAGAGGAAAGTTTTTCTCCCGCCTCCAGGTGTGACCACGTTTTCATGTATCAGCATCATTGCCAGGATGATGACTGAGGATGCATCAATACACCTACACATTCACTTTCATTCAGCAGCGATGCTGTTTAGCAGAGAGAAGCAGCAGATTTGTTTGGTTTAGTGTTTCCAGCATTTGAAAGCTGCCCATCATAGGCTCATTTTCTCTTTTCAAACATCTTTGGTGCTTATCACTTTCTGCTGCTGTGTATATGCAATGCACATCTCAACAAGATCACTTGTCAGTCAAGCCAGCATGTGTGTGGGAATTTTCTTGAATATATATTAAAGGTCAAACAAAACTTGCCAGAGGGGGTTTCATAAGAAAGATTCTGCTTGAATGTGGCTGATAAGACAAACAATTGGAAGAGAGATTCAAACGCCGCTGTGGCTTAAACATCTCTTGATATATGGATCGGTGATACAAACTTCAATCGCACATCGCAACAACTACAACAAGCCACAAACACCCTTGACTACCGCATGGGAGAAACTGCTTCCTCTGAGAAGTGTTGCACATTCAGATGCACAGGAAACAACATGAACCTCACTGGTTTGTTCTGCAAAGGTATATGTCTTTTCCAGAGCAAAACGTGTGCTGACGCTTATGACATCAGTGAGCTCCAATCTCAACAAAACATCCTGTACAGCTCCTGAACCTAACTCTACACTCTCATGAGCTCACTGAGAAATTACCTCCAGAACACATCAACATAAAAGAAAGTGACATTGGAAGGTTTTTTTTTTTCCCTTAGCAAAAGAATAGACAGTCTTCAATTTTGTGAACATCTCCAAAAGGTCATATCAGTATTTGCATGAACTCACTTGTATTTGACATTTGAATAGTAAAAGGTTGCCTCTCCTTGACAACACCGAAAAAAACAGAAACCAGTTACACTCAGACACAAACTGACTCCCAAATTTTAAAATTACAGCCAGTACATCTTACTTCCCTTTCTCCTCCATTAGACATACACTATAGAACACAAACTACTTCTCCTTATTGGAGCCATGTTCACTTCGACTGTTGCAAAGGCTGACCGTATCGTCAGTCAGTGGCAAGCACGCAACTTTTCTTTTTACGGGGAGTAAAACATTACCTGATACAGTATTTTGTTCCAGGGCATTTGTCTTTGCTTCCCATGAAGCACTGCAAATGCCAGGGATCTGTGGAAATATAAAACCTTTTGTTGTTTACCTTTGTCTACTCTTTCTTGTTCTGTTATTCCTTTGGGCTCTAGATAGTAGTATTTCCTGATTCATGCTCTTTTTCCCTCCTATTGGACTTCTGTCTCCTTTTGCCCGCCTCCCAATTCGTAGCCTCAAACTATGTAAAGTAATTATTTAATAACAACATTTGGATCTTGTTCCCCCACAATTATTTGGTTGTTGTTTCGTTGAGTATGGCAAAACTAGGTCATGAAGGGATGCGAGGAGGGTGACACACCTGTAGCTGCTGTTGTATGATTTTCATGTTGTGTCTTTGTAGGAAGTTCATCTCCCGTGAGCGTACCCTCTCCAACTGGGACAGCAGGTTGTTGAACAGCACCGCTGCCATTGAGTCATCATTAGCTGCTGTGTCCCTGAAAAACAGACAGTGTGTGATGTTTAGGAGATTCAAGATGGCTGGTTTAATGCTTGTAAAACAGAGAAAGAGACACCCAATAATAAGTAATTATGTAAGTAATTATGTGCATGCGATCAATTTTTAATTCCACTTTTTAAGTACAACTTCACATAGTAGTAACTGCCAATGGCTGCTAAAAGGTGACTTTATATAATTACCCAGAGATCATGAAAAGTGGTAATGGTCTACTGAACACTCACATAGATTTTGCTCTATGGTGATTTGTAATGAAGCCTGACATGTTTCTGTATCTACAAGCTTCTGAACATGTAAAGCTGTGCATATGCTTGCATATACATACATATATGTAAATAATGTTAGCATGAACATTAGAAGGCAAGATTGCATTTGTCAGTTTGGAAAGAACAAGAAAGGCAAAGAAATATTTCAATCTACTTTCATTGTTTGTGGGGGGGTTTAGTCCACTTGACATCATGTGACATTATCAATTTCTGGCCACCTAATAAAATTTAACTCTAATTCACCCTGTTTTAGCCCTGCTTTGGTCTCCACTGACTCCTGACAAAAATATCTGGCTCATCAGCTGCTAAATGCTCCACTATACTGTCCAGCTAGTTCCATCTATAACTACAGTGGGGATTTTCTCTGTTTTCTTCACTGACACTGATGACAACAACAACAGCTAAAACAACAACACCGAGATGAGATGAAAGATGCTAAAACGCTCTGTTGAGTTGAGGGGAACTGCAGCATGGGGGCTCTGCGGGTTAATTTCTGCAAGCGACTCCTTTTCACATTAAACACAGCCATTTGCTCCTTTGTTATAAATATATTGACTAGTGGATCTTGCATGAAAATCCTTCTTCAACTTCATAATTTAAGTCTAAATAAAATCAAAGTGAAAAAACAATTACATACCAAGACATGGTTCTGTCTGGCAACCGGGCTCAGTTCACACAAACTGCAAAAAATACATTTTCTCACTCACCCTTAGTGGTTTAGTCCATGTTTTCTCTGAGATACCCACTGCTTCCACACTAATCCACTAGAAGTAAGTGAGAAAATATGCCTTTTTCCTGTAATTTGGATTGAGTGATCCTTAAAGCGCAAAAGAAACCTTGCCTCGTGTGTGTTAGAAGAAGGGGGAAAGGGCAGGACCACCACTAACACACACACACACACACACACACAGGGAGCAGGACTCACCAATCCTGAGACTCGATCCAGCTGGCCAGACCCTGCCTGATGTCCATGGGGAAGTTATCATCATACAGGTAGTCCACATGTTCCAGGAGTCTGATCTCCAGCTGCTGAATCTGCTTCCACTGGCTCATGCTGCCTGCACAACACACACACACACACACACACACAAAGGCAACAGACCGTCACCGCCACGCGCTTGAAGTGAAGTTATAAGTATCTTAAACGTAATGTATAATCCATGATACACAGCCTATATTGTTCATTGCCACAATTCGCTTGGTACTGGCCAAGTTCAGTGCTGTTTTTCTCATATTTGTTACCTGAGATGTTTCTGCGCTGCTCTCCTCTCAGTCTCAGTCACCATGTGCAGTTGTTTCGCTCTCTGACTTTCGCTTTTTAATGTGTCAGCTCAGGAAACGATTTAGCCTAAACTGTCAGGGGCTGAACTCAGGTACTCAGGAAACCCGCCCATTGTATCACTGCATACTCACTCACTCACTCACACACGCACACGCGCACACACACACACACACACACACACACACAACACATTTCTCTGTGTAATGAAAGAAGAATGAAGCAACCCGTTACCGGTAAGATGAACACAGGCCTACGTCACAAGCATGCTCGTGCGGGGGGGGGGCGCTTGGTGCATGCCCTTTGATGACCAAAGTGCCATTTGGCAAACTTTCCTTTATTTATTATTAATTATTTATGACCTTCCACATGATGACCTCAACAGCATGTCAGCCCACAATGTTTCAAAGCCAGAGCTGGGAATTCCCTACAATCTCACCATAACAGACATACATTACCAAACAGGGGCCACTTTGATTTTGAGTAATACTTATGTCCTATACAGAGTTTACTCTAACAGTTATTCTTTATTATTTTTGAATAACAGGGGAGGAAAAGCCTCAAGGTTTGGACAAATTAAAACACTTCAGCTTCTAAAGACAGACTAATTAATGCAAACTCTGCAGCTTGTATTTCATGCTATTCTTTAAAAGTGTACCGTAGGTTTATGTTTGTGCCTAGCCTTGTACATTTGTATGTGATTGGTGTAGGCGATGTGTTACAATGTGTTTTCTGCATTGTCCCTTTAAAAAAAACAACAACTAAGTAATTAATTAAAAGTGTTATCCTTTGGACTATTAAGTCCTTATCTTCTAATTCCTTAAGTTCCAATTCTTTAATAGGCTGCAGCCTCTACAAATTGCATTTTAACAGAAAAATAAAAATAATCAGAAGTTGAATACTGACAGTCCAGTAGTGGACAGCAACTAAATACATTTACTTTACTTAACTTAAAACCTTGTAAAGGTGGTTTGAGTTTCTATGGAAGCTGTTGCATTCATCAAAGCACAAAAAGAGTTTTCTCATAATTGTGACTTCTGTGTCTTGAAATCATCACATAGCCTTTTATAATTGCAAAATGAGAAAGACATAATTACAATTGTAATAAATAAGTCATTTTATTGTAACTGAGACATAAAGACTTTGTAAAAGTTGCACCTGCAGCTTTAAATTTGTAATTGCTGAGGTAGACATGAGCTGGCTAACATGACCCCCTCTCACTGCCAAATAATTGTTTGTGTAACTACTGAGACATTTAGAGCGGGGCAACCAGCCAATTCTTGTGGTTGAAATTATAATGTTATGGAAATGTTATTTAATGAGGCACTTCATATGGATGGCAGTCACAGAAGAAATTAAATAAAACCTGTGACTTCACATTGCATGTGATCAGCAAATGAAAGTTCACAAAGTAGACAATTTTTCGGAACAGAAAACGCCAGCTATTTGATGTTATGACAAACTTCAGTTGGTGGAGTGAAGGTCACATGAAACCAGTCATATACCAGGAACAAATCTTGAACTTGAAAGTGTGAACTAAATGAACATGACACTACAGTTTTTTCAGTTAAAATCCAGCCCAAGTTCAATTATATTTTCTACTTTTCAATATCTAATTCAAAACTCAGATGAATAGAAAAAAGCCTTTTCATATCTGTCTCTACTTTAGCTGTGCACCGTACAGAATAGAAGTTATAAAAACAAAAGCTACTGTAGCATTGTACAGTGCAGTAAAGAGCAATGTCTTGACATAGCAGAATCATCCAAACTATTGTGGAGAAACAATTATTTTTGCGTAATTTAATTTACCTCACATCTCATATTTGGCCCTGCAATTCTCAAGAAAATGTGGCATATGTAGCCATCCCCAACATCTCGCTACTGTGATATGTCCCCATCCTCTATCTCTATCCCATCGACAGACTCTTTATACAGTCTATGTACCCATCACACTCCTCCTCGCTGATGAGCCACTGAGTCCACATTACATTTTCATGAAGTGTGGTATCTGTGGTAAACTGTGTTTTTCCTCTTTGGTGTAAACGTGTTGTGCAATCAGCAAAACTTAAGACAATGTAAGGAAAAAATCAAAGCTGGCAGGCTATTTGTAATAAAATTGGTAGAGCAACACCTGTCAGAGATGTGTGGAACATGATTAAGAGCATGCGAGGAATCAGAAGGGAATGGCAGGATCCATTACTGAAGATGTGGGAGGAAGCAGCAGTGTCTGACAAAGAGAAGGCAGAGATGATAGCGAAGGCGCTTACTCTTGTTCATATTTCCGATAACTTGACGGAGGAGGGAAAGAGAGGAAGGGCAATGACAAGATCAGCGCATGGCGACTTACTTGAAAGAAGGGTTGACAATGGATGCTTCAATTACTGTGGAAGAAATGAGGAGGGCAATAGCAAGATCTGGACTAACATCTCCGGGGAAGGATGATATTTGCTTTGTAATATTAGAACATTTAGGTGTCTTAGCATCTACTAAGTAGCTAGGATTTTATAATAAAGTATGGGAATTAGGGAAATTGCCAGCTGGGTGGAAAGAAGCAGTAATTATTATTATAGGAAACCAGGGAAGGATTCGTTAAGTCCAATGAACTATAGGCCAATAGCACTTACGTCACACATAGGAAAGATAATGGAAAGAATCATTACAGAAAGATTATCATTTTACGTGGAAAGCAGAGGAATTTTATCACCTCATCAGAGTGGATTTAGGAGGGGTGGAGGAACTATAGATCCTGTTAAGTGTTTAGAAACAGAGTTAAGGAAAGCGCAAGTTAATTAAGAATCTGTAGTGGCAGTGTTCTTTGATGTAGAGAAGGCATATGATATGGTTTGGAAGGAGGGATAAATTATAAAAAATCATTGGAATAGCAGGTAGGACATATAATTGGATCATGGAATTCTTGTCTGAGAGAATTGTTGATTATACAAGTCAGAATTGGGACAGCTGTATCAGAAAGATATATGGTAGAGAATGGTACTACTCAGGGCAGTGTCATTAGCCCTGTACTCTATGTATTATGATTAATGACATTTTTCTCAAGTTCAGGGTGATATTGGATATTGGTTTGCATATTAAGGGTAAAATACAAGAGGCAGTTGATGTGGTGGAAAGATGGTCATTTGCATGGGGGTTCAAGTTTGCAATTGGGAAAACTAAGACAGTAGTCTTCACTAAAAAGAGAGCGGTCGATGCTTAGTTAAAGATGTATGGGCAAAAGATAGAGCAAGTAAAAGTCTGTAGATTTTTGGGTATGTGGTTTGATGATAAGTTAACATGGAATGAACATATCAGTAAGATAAATACCAAATGTAAAAAGATACTGAATGTGATGAGATGCTCAACAGGGTCAGAATGGGGAGCAAGTAGGGCTGCTATTAAAAATGTGTATATAGCGCTGGTTAGATCGGTATTAGATTATGGGTGTATCGCTTATGGATCTGCAGCAATAACTTCATTAAAGAAGTTATTGCTGCCGACTCCTGTCTGCTCTTCAGGTTGAGGTGGTGCATGCCCTTTGATGACCAAAGTGCCATTTGGCAAACTTTCCTTTATTTATTATTAATTATTTATGACCTTCCACATGATGACCTCAACAGCATGTCAGCCCACAATGTTTCAAAGCCAGAGCTGGGAATTCCCTACAATCTCACCATAACAGACATACATCACCATACAGGGGCCACTTTGATTTTGAGTAATACTTATGTCCTATACAGAGTTTACTCTAACAGTTATTCTTTATTATTTTTGAATAACAGAGGAGGAAAAGCCTCAAGGTTTGGACAAATTAAAACACTTCAGCTTCTAAAGACAGACTAATTAATGCAAACTCTGCAGCTTGTATTTCATGCTATTCTTTAAAAGTGTACCGTATAGGTTTATGTTTGTGCCTAGCCTTGTACATTTGTATGTGATTGGTGTAGGCGATGTGTTACAATGTGTTTTCTGCATTGTCCCTTTAAAAAAAACAACAACTAAGTAATTAATTAAAAGTGTTATCCTTTGGACTATTAAGTCCTTATCTTCTAATTCCTTAAGTTCCAATTCTTTAATAGGCTGCAGCCTCTACAAATTGCATTTTAACAGAAAAATAAAAATAATCAGAAGTTGAATACCGACAGTCCAGTAGTGGACAGCAACTAAATACATTTACTTTACTTTACAAATTAGAGGTATTTGTACAAAAAATGAGTTCATTATTATTGCACCGAACAATTAAAACCTTGTAAAGGTGGTTTGAGTTTCTATGGAAGCTGTTGCATTCATCAAAGCACAAAAAGAAAGAAAGAAAGAAAGAAAGAAAGAAAGAAAAAGAAAGAAAGAAAGAAAGAAAAAGAAAGGGTATCTTAGGTAGGGAAACTATTCCAGTATTTGAAAGAAACTGGATTGATCAATAGAGTTTAGCGAACAGGGAAATAATTCATTCATTCATCTTTTTGTTTGTTTGTTTTGCTTTGTTGTGTTGTGTTTTGTTTGTTTATTTATTTCTCAAGGGATAAAAAACTCTCCACACTCCAACATAGTAGGTGGCGGTAATGCACCTTAACGCTGGTTGCCACCGGCCATAAAACGTAACAAAGAAGAAGAAAAGGGGGTCAAAGTTGAAGGGAAAGAAAAACATGGTTGAACACGGGGATATCCGCGTGGTTCACCGAGGTGGTAGTAAAATAAACTTCAGGGAGCCTGTCATAACCAATGATTCGAGGTGAGTGTGTGTTTTCAGTCCGGTCATGTTTATTATTTTGTAGAAGAGATTCCCGCGGTTCTTCAGGTCGTAGTAGCCCTAGAGCTAAAGCCGGCGCTAGCCGTTAGCATTAGCACTAGAAGCTATTGGCTAACAGTTGATATTTCAGCTGCTGTTTACAAAGAAGTAACGTTATCGCCACCTTCTCTCGCCCTGGCGACACTCAGCAGTTTATGTAACACATACCAACAAAACGCTGCAACCTTTCGGCCGTACACTGTACGTTCTTGTGTGAAATATGTGCTAAATGTTGCTGCAGGTTCCTGCTGTGCGCCTCAGGAGAGTGTGTGAAGGTGTTCAGCACCTCCACAGAGGAGTGCATCCACAATCTGCGGGGACACACCGACCTGGTGACAGGCGTGCTGCTCAAACCCTCCAACCACTTGCAGGTACCGTCATCCCAACACACAGTTTGTTAACGGGGCTGGAGAGGAGGACTGACTCACTCAAACAGAAGTAATGTACTTCTAACATGCCTTGTTTTTATTTAAAAGGGCTAGTGTTGTCTCCTGAATCATTTCTTTTCCATGTAATAGAAAATATATATATATTACATAACAAAAAGAAAAGCAGCAAATTGTCACAAAGAACTAGAACCAGCAAGTGTTCTTTTGTTTGATAAATAATGTGTAAATTAATTATTATGGATCAATGATCAAAATAGTTGCCCTAGTTGATTGCTTAGTTGACACATTTTTCATCACTAACAATTGAATGGAGAGACTCAACAGCACATATGCTCTACTTGATGTGATTTGATGAGGTTATGGAAATGTCTATCTCTTTCACCTTGCCGGCAGAGCTGAAACTACCACTGAGGACACAATTCATTTCCTTTTTTATTGTTGTTTATATAAATATTATCGGTCTAATTTTCCCTTGACACAGTTGATTCTGGAATGAAATTAATTTTTTACTCAAAGTCAAGCCTCATGAGACATTATTACTGCCCAATGTTTGTTGCCAGTCTAAGCACTTTCACTGACAACAACTCAGTGTAAGCAGTTTCATTGAGAAGAACTTTTTATCACAGTCTACCTCCATGTGGAAAGAAACGCAATTGCTTGCTTAAACTATTGTGCTAAGTCACTGTCATTATATTCAGAAAGAGCTGCGGCTGATACGGTTTTCACTTGTGTGTTTTTGACCCCACAAATGAAGTGCCTTTTAGATCCATTTCATTGTGATCAGCTGCATATTCTTAAATGCAAATCCTGGATGGATAGATTGTACTGTGACACTGAGTAGAGCTGTTTTTCCCTTTTGAGTTTAGGGTAGACTATGTCTTTTAATAAAGCATTTTCAACACAGTAAAATCTATTTTAAATGAATGAAACTGTTCCAAAACGTGTAAATTTTAGCTTTTTTTTACTCTTCAAACATTGGCAAATGTTCAGATCCAGTGATTGATTGCACTTGGCACATTTCAGAGTTATGCTTCCTAGCTGTTTCATGCATTACTTTACTGAAATAGCATATAGGTAGTTGCTTTTTACATATGGATTTATTGTGACATTTCATTTCTTTTGTGGTGATGCCTTCCTGTCTTGTTGCAGGTCTACTCTTGCTCAGCAGATGGCACTGTCAGACTTTGGGACTTCACAGACGGCATTCTTATTAAGGTACACCTGGATTCTTTCTTTTTTTTTTTTCTCCAGTCTTCACATTCAGTTTGGCCAATACCGATCTGCCCTCCACCTCAATGTGTCCACTTCATCTGTTTGTTCATTGCTGTTGGGTGTTGTAGTGGACAGTACAACAGTTCCCCACTGCTCCTGACTGGTAGCACATGGCCAGATAATGAAGGAAACATAATTCATGTTCCATCTTTCGACTTTTTAAGCAGTGTTTTTGTCATGCACACTACCTTTAATGGCTGGTTAAAAATCCAGGATATGCAGTGAACTGTTAGTAGATTGTTATAGTATATGATTGTGCTGTTAAACTAACTCATACTATGTAGCTACTGTTCATTCACAATGAGCAAGGTGTCCATGGTGGAGAGTGGTCAGGGCTTGTATTATACACTACCCCCCTTAGTGTGGAGAGCCCACAGTTGTGAGTGTGGCTTTGTGCGCAGTGACACAGTAGTGAAGGACTACTGGGTTCAGATCAGTTTGAGCCTGTGTTGGGTTTTCTCTGGCTGCCATGTGACAACTCTGCGCGATCTCTTCCAGACGTACGTCATTGGATACCCAGTTTACTCCATCCACGCATCCGCAAACCATGAAGGAGTCATCTTTATTGTTACTCCCACGCTAAGTGACAAAAGATCTGGTAGGTTTGACATGTTTTCTAATTGTGATCATTGCTTGGGAGTGATGCCTGAGCAATTTTCACGTTGGTGACTTGAACCCAAAACCTAGCAATTAATGCCATGCACTTACTCATTCAGCTGCATGAGAGTACTCAATAATAATGCTGATATGGTACCAATTGTGTCTTGCTTTCAGCCCATTAAATGCAGAGTCTGCAAGTCAGATCAGGGTTGTGCGTTTGCATGTCTAATACAGTGTCTTATTTTTATTTTATTTTTTTTACTTACTTCCACAAGGAGTCGCCAGTTAAATGTTAAATCATTCTCATGGGGGCATGTTTGATGTAGAAACTGGGTAAGAGGTCACTGGGTAAGATTGTGTAGTAGGCTGGTATTTGATAAGGTATGTTTGTATGTGCGTGCAGAGTTGTTCCAGCTGGTTGCGGTACATTTACCACAGAGCGGCGATCAACTGGTGGAAGCCAGAGAGCTTTCTGCTGTGCTCAGCAACGTCAGCTCCAACTCAGCGGCCATCGTCTTCGGCAGAGGGGTACATACACCACTACCACTACTGTCACTAACGCACCATCTGCACCAGTTCCATTCCCAAAAGTGATGTCCCTCACTTGACGTATCAGAGGGGTATTGGTCTGGGAGTTTGTGGACTTCTCTGCTGTGTCAAAACAAAATGATGTAGATATATTTTTGGCCATGAGTCCCAGCTATAGCTTCAATTAAGTTTATCTGTCTTCAAAAACTCCAATAAACCTCAGTGGAAGCATAAAACGGGTCACTATCAAATTAACTTCAGATAATGATTTTTTTTCACTATAAAATTGGATATATAGCATTACACTTACAAACTTTGTTTTGTTCACGCCATTTAGTCAAGAACTGTTTTTTAGTACAGAACTTGGTCAGCTGTCCTTATATACGTGTCGATAACCAAATATTATCTTACCTCACAGGGGGAATATATTGCTTCAGCTAAAGGTTTACAGCTGGAGGTCTACTTCTTCAAGAAGCAGAAGTCATACAGGTGAGCCACAGTGGGAGATGCTTTAGTTAGGAGGTGTGGAAATAAGCATTTTATTGAAAATGAATGAACATTTTGTGCCAAATGTTCATGTAAAACCACAAACAATTCAGTTTTTGTTTACAAATGCCTCAGCAAACAATCAGAAAGACGTAGAGATCAAGACTGAAGTTCATATGTCACAGAAATCCATGTATGGTTCGTTCGTTTAAATATTAAAATCAATATTTTTCCGTTTTGGTTTTAAAACCGAAACCAATTTGGTTTTGAAACAAAATAATCCAAGAACGAACCGTACACAGATTCACAGAGGTTAATGAACCATGAACCTGTGATTGGATGTTCAATAACACTGTATGTCTGACCTTCTGTGGCTTGTTAATAGGTTTTCCCTCAAAGAAGACAACAAGAAGGGAGGAAAGAACACATTCACGTGCGTTGCCTGTCACCCAAAAGATGACTGCATTGCCACCGGCCATGAAGATGGCAAGATTCGCTTGTGGTGAGTAGTAACAACACGGCCTTGAACCATATAAACTCACAACCAGCGTGTTGATCATTTTGAACTTTATTTTCTTGCATCACTGTTGATCCTTTCAGGAGAAACTTCAACCACAAGAAGGAGTACACATACTCCACCCTGCACTGGCACCACAGTGCTGTCAGCTCACTGTGCTTCACCCCAGAAGGTAGATGCATTTTATTCCCTATCTTATAGTTTCTATCTCTATATTTTTCAGGAGGGATTCTTGTTGCTCAAGCTACTTTAAAGTGTCAAAACTGCAGTTAAGAGTTTCAGTCCTGTTTCAAAAAATGTGCTAGAATAGCTAAATTAGCTTGTGCTTTTTGGGGCGAGGCTTTAAGAAAAAGTCATCCCTGCCCTGTTCCTCCCTCTGTATCTGTTTCTGCTTTGTTTTATCAGGCACCAACCTGCTGAGTGGAGGCTTGGAGTCGGTGCTCGTCCAGTGGCGATACAACCAAGAGAACCAGCGGGACTTCCTGCCCCGCCTGGGTGCTGCCATCACACACATCGCTGTCTCGCCTGATGGAGCGCTTTTCTGTACATCACACAGTGACAACAGTAAGGAGCTGTGACCCGTATTATGCACTGAGATGAAACACAATGAGCAACAAACGGTTGAGAAGTTATTGTAAAAGTGGACATAGTTTAAAACCTTTTCAGCATCTAGCAGTACTACAGAGCACGGTATTTCCACTATGTGCGCTACAGTTGCTACTTGGTTTAAACCCTGCTAGTTTTACATTTGACATCTTTTCACAGACATCTGTGTCCTTAATTATAGCAAAGGCTGCAACTATGAAATGCGTATATAGACATTATTGAGAGGTTTCAGTAT